TTTTTGGGGGGGGGGGGAAACGGTATGCTTTCAATTTTAGCGCTGTAATCGACTGAATAATACAAGGATCTGCACGAACAAAGTACTCGAACAAGCATTATAACTGGATTAACATAAGTTCATTTCTAACGAATGTTATCAAACAAAAGGATTGCTGCTATTTTGTCAAGCAGAAAATAAATAAAAATTCTTTGTTTATTCTATGACAGCTTTCAGTCATTACTTTGAAAATAGGCGTGTCACGTGCTTATGAATGAACCAGGTTTATTCATTTTAATGTTTTCATTCTCGTAGAAGATAACATACCAATGTATATGAATTTCATTCGAAGCTTAAAAGGAATTAAACAATATGGTGATGATCTCCCCCCGTGCGTACTCACACTTACTCAGACCTAGCTATCATATCCAGCAAATCCAGTACAAGCAACTCAACCTGCTGCGATTGCTCGACCAAACTCGGGTTATACCTCATCACGGGCATATCCTTGGCTTCGCTTGCGTTCTCGGCCTTCACGTCCTCCGGGCCCGAGGCTGAAACCGGTGCATCCTTCACCTGCCCTTGTTTGGGATCGCAAACATGGATGAAAATGGAGGCGACCTTGCCTGGATACCGTTCCTGTAGCTTGAGGCTTTGGTAAAGACAACAATTGCAGATATAACGGCCGGCGTTGTGGGAGATTTCCCACCTGGGGAGCTGATAGGAAGGAGATTCGATAGCGGTCGTTTCCTCGTTCTCCCGCCTTGAATTCAGTTCCTCGTTTCGTCGCGCAATCACACGCTCTAACCACTCTCGTTGAAGAGATCCTTCCCGGCCAAACCAGCTCTCGAGGTAGACGTCGATGCCCCCATCAGCGGAGAAGATGGGCACATGGTTGAAAAGAACCCCCCGAACATCTGGAACGCCCGCGGAGAGTTCGTTGTAACCCCGCACCTCAGCGCGTAGCACCCCGTTCTTTTCGTAGCTATGAACCCCTAAATGAAGTAAAAGAAAGGTTTCGCTGGAGTCAGCAGCAAGAGCATCCCGCAGCTTTACATTGAGTTGCGTAAAAAACTCAGAAACGGCGTCCAGGCTCGTTTCTAGCTCAACAAACTCGACCACAGACAGAAGACCGCGTGCTCGCAAGGCCGTGGCGACGCTTTTCCCGATCGAAGAGCTCGGATTCTCTTTGATATTCGCGAAAGGTCCAAATCCTGTGATGTACACACGCGTCGGATGCGCCTTCTTCGAATCTTCAGTCATGTGGGAAGAGAAGATGGAATGTGAAGTAATATTAACGTTGCTTGCTAAAAATAGCTAATAAAAAAAAACTATTAATAATGAAGAGCAGAAAGGAGCAGTGTATTTCTTACGAACAATTGAATAGCAATCATCTTTCCTCTAAGCCTTTAAATCAAGTTTATATAACAATTAAGATTTGGTAAGTAAAAAAAAAAAGCATGAAACACCATACATCGGCAATGAATAAAGAAAAACTAGCGACCGTTGTTCAAACGTCAACTCCACTCCCCCGCACAACCCATCGTGTTCCTTTTTTGTAAAATCCACACTCTTTCAGCACCCCATCACGGTACCCCAACCAGCCACACACCATCGATGCTCGCAACACAACGACAATAGTCAAATAGAAAGAAGCGTAGGAGGATAAACAAACACTACAGTAAGTACAGAGCTCGATCTCAGACTCGGCTATTTATACAAATACTCAACAAAAACCTTTCCATAGCGAAAAGGGGTTCAGAATATGAACAAATCTATTGAATTTTAATCATCATCGAGAGCTCCGAATATCAATACGTGTACTAGCTATCAAGATAATTAATATCAACTGTAAGCTAGACTTCTTGTTGAAAAAAGATTGAGTCTAATAAAATATCAACCTTTATAGAATGATTAGCTACTGGTAGAAGTAGTAGTCATTTCTGGATGCGAAGATAAGCATTTCAATAAATCAAGCAACCAAAAATTCTCGCACGTAAGAGCAAACATTTATGTGATAAAGGGATTCTAAACACACGCATACCTCGTTTCTTAACGATCGCATTCTAATATTGATTTTGCAAACATCAGCAGTTCACACCCATACCACAAGACTTACCATCAAAAATAGGTAAAAGGATCATCCCAAATAACAAGACAACCACAACGGTGATAGGAAATCACACCTTAACCGAAAGACCACCCAAGAAAGGTTTTGGAAGAGGGATATCCATTTCAATACCCTAAAATGATTCCCTCCCACCCCCTGGGGAAAAAAAGGTGAAAGCTAATCATGATGGGCTAGATAATCGAGTCGCTTTTCGACTAGACCATTGCTATTGTGAAGCGCTTAGAGGACTAATTTGTGAGCTTTTGAGATTCTTTTACTCCTCATTTGAGTCCCTTTATGTGATAGGATAAAAGGAAAAGGAAGGAAGCATGGAATGCATATCTTCTGGACACATCCCCCACCCGCAAAGATCCACCAAATTTTAAGACCAAAGACAGTTTTGAGATTGATTTGATCGTCTACATGAAATGATTTATTGCAGCGACCATTCTTACGCGTGTATTCACAGGTTATTTTTCTTATTTTTCTAGAAGCCAGGTCATACTGCTCGCTGAATTCAGTAATGCATGGATAGCACAACCCATGAGTTCGATCAACAAAAGCTAATGGGAAATTCAAACATAGCTGACAATGTAAAATTCACCTCTCGCAAATTGAAACTGATTATTATTGAACGTTGTGTTCAACATTACTTCCTTGTCCTTTTTTTTACCTTCGAAACTAGCACAATAAAATCATCCTTGGCTTCCAATTCCCCAGAGAAAGGAAAAAGAGACTAAAATGGTAGTAATGATAATTCAGATGAATATTTTTCAAGTATTCATTTCTTTTAAAGAGAAAGAAATGATCACACGCTCTTAAAACGCACGCTTACATCACTATACAACACTTTCCGCACGTTAGTTTGTTGGTCTTCCCTGTGTATTGATACCTGATAGTCGATGATACTTTGCGATGTGGTACCGAAGGATTATTAGGGAGATCTGACGCTTGATTATCGGTGCTGGAAACTATAATGGGTTCATTAGGGATGTTGTTTGATGTAATATTGATCCTGCCGCTGATGGGGTTCGCTACTTCGGGATATCCCGGTCGCCCCGCGGGGGGTGGTTTGCCTTCATGTGTGCCCGTTCCATTGACTGATGGACTGATTTCGGAATCGTTCTCCAACACAGTTTTAGCGGACGGATGATGACCTTGGCCATTATTGGTATTAAAGTGGATGGGCTCCCCATTCTGTATGGTGCTATTCGTAATTAACGACTGCGGCTTGTCGCTTAACGGATGAATCGACGAGTCGGTATCCTTCCGCGGGAACTCGGCCTTTCTGTTTTCCATCACCCCGTTCGACGCCACCGGTGAGGAGGGCTGACCGGGCTGCAGGTACCCCCCAAAGCTCATCGTGTAGGACTCCACCCCGGAAAGCAGGGGGACCGGGGTTGGGGTGTACACAATCTTATTCGTCGTCTCCAGCCCGAGCTGCATGCAGTCGTTTAGACCGCAGGTTAAAATCTGCCCGCCCTCACAGGCGAACATGCTCCCCGCGGGCCCCGCCGCGATCCCAAGGCACTTCCCCGGCAACGGCACTGGAGTGAACTCACACACCTCCTTCACCCCGGGCCCGAGCCCGAGCTGCCCGTTATCGTTAGCCCCCGCACAATAGACGACGCCGCTGCTCGTGAGCGCGAGGGAATGCCACTCCCCCGCCGCGACCTGCGTGATAAAATGATGAATCAAGGTGGTCACCAGATACGGCCGTCGGTGCGTCTCCTGTTTCCCGCCATTCCCGAGCTGCCCGTGGCGATTCCGCCCGCTCGTGTAGAG